TCCCTGGAAGCGAAGAAGGAGCAGCTGGTCGTCCTGCAGTCGGAGTTCGATAGGACGGCGTCGTTGGTCTCGCCAAAAGTTAAAGGAAGCGAGCAACGAGAAGGAGTACCAGGGTCAGTCTTGCTCCACGGCATCGGCAAATTCAAGAAGGACTACCCATAGGCAAAGGCCTCTCCAACGATCCCTGGACGAAACTGCAGGAGCACATCCGTGTCATGCCCAAGGAGGCTGCCCCAGACGTTGGTATGGGTACTGCCGCAGATGATGATGGTGATGACGAAGGTGCCCGAGATTCTCAGCATCCCGATGGTGGCGGTGGGTCAGGAGAACCAGCAGAGGCAGCAAACAACAAGCGCTACAGCGAGACCAGTGAACTCTCTGATGAAGAGCGGCGTGCCATCTGGACTACGTGCTCCAGTTTCGAGGATTTCACTGCCAAGCTGGAGGAGCTTTACACTACAAAGAGGGCTAGGCATTCTATTTGACGATGATCTCGGTACACAGGCTGAGTGTACTATGTCGGAGGAGGTATTGGGCAGCCAATATTCCCTTAGATCTCTGAGGACCAAAGGCGATGCTGCTGAAGGCGATGTGCGACCTCATGGCGGCAAGGGTGAGAGTGCGAGTGGCACCTCCCCTGTTAGACCGACTACTGAGGGTGATGCGCCAAGGGCTGCGCACCCGCGCCTTGGAGCGTGTGCTCCATAGTCCAGAGAGTCTGATCTCAACGGTTGTCTTTTGCCACTTGTCACAGGTTTCAGGCCAGGTTCTTTCCCGCCGCTGAAACCTGAACTAGGAAAAGACAAAGGAGAGCATGTGATTGAGAGTTTGAATTGCAGCGGTGGCAAGAGCACACTTAAGAAACGTCTCAAGGTCACCCGACCATTCGTAGCTATTGTGCAAGAGTTCGGTCATGTAGCTGACCAGGTTGAAGTAATACAGAGTTGGGCGCAAGTGCGTGGCTGGAGTCTAATGGCGTTGCCCTCTTGCCCGTCTGCAGGTAATGTGCCCAGTGCTGGTGTAGCTATCTTTGTGCGCAGCGAGTGCGGTGTGCGTGCGGCTCAAGCGGGTGTGCATCAAGTGTGAACATCGCGTGCAGCATGCGCAGCTTGACCTCCCAGGTTGGCCCACACCCCATCTTGTGAACATGTACCTGTACCCAAGTATAGCCCCCCCGGGCAAGACTGCCAAGTTGTTGGCAGCAGCAGGTGGAGTGGTGGAGAGTGTTGAAGCTGGTATAGTAGGAGGAGGTTGGAACATGTCGCCAGATGAAGTAGAGGCGTCAGACTTCTGCAGTTTCGCTGGTCTTATTTTGGTCTCTACACAGCTATATGCTTATCGTAGTGGCACAGGTAGCTCGGTCATCGATTATTTCGGGCTCCATGATCCTTGCATTCGCGCGTGCAGGCATGTCGAGCTCGACGCAAGCTGGTCGATTATACCCCACAGGCCAGTGCAGTTAGCTATAGCCAGCCAAGGGCACAGGGTGCAGCATCTAGTGTACACAGGTGCTCCTTCCCTTCCTTGTTCCCCCCCCCCCGTTCGGTCCTCGCCCCGAGTCACCTGATTGGGGTCCTGTTCGAGGGTTGGTTGAGCGTTGCGTTGAAATGGCGGAGGACGAGAAGGCCGACCCAGGGGTAGTGCATCACCTGCTAAGCACTAGCTGGGGTAAGTTTGCCCACATTGCTGCACGGTATATCAGTATTTGCAATGGGGGCGCGAACGGTAGCTTCGGTTGTTTCGGGCGCCAAGTTGCACCGCGCTGGGTCAATGCCGAATGTCTCGTGCCAGACGGTAATGAAAAATGTTTAATAGCTGACGGGTGGCAGTGGCTTCGGAACGGGGTCCAGCACCTAGGTCAGCTAACGGGTCTAGATGATATGGTGGACCAAACCCAGGACGCTATGCTTGCTGAGTTAGCAATTTTTCGTGGCCAAGACTAGCCAGGGCCCGGCCTGAGCGCCAGGCTCGATGACTCGGCCAAGCAAGCTCGAAGATGTTGTGCTCGGAGTTTGTTCGGGAAGACGTGGGGCAGTTTCTCGAAGATATTGCTGAATACGCCTTAGTTGCAGTAAAAGGTGCACCGAAAGAAATCCAGGACAACTGGAGTGAGTGGTGCAAGACTGCGAGTATGGGGAGAGCGCGGGGCTTTCACAGGGTCACGAAGGTTCGGAGTGGTGTCGCGCCCACGTTTGTGCATGACCCTAAAGGCCCCAGTGCTGATCCTCAGTCTGGTGCGCAGCATGAGCTGCAGTCGCATGCTAAGCTTTGGCGAACCACCGCCTCCCCACCAGCTGCCTGGATCCCCGATAGGTACAGCGTTCCCTGGGGAGGCGAGGCAAGTCACCCAGAGTTTCTCAAAAACGACTGCCAGGTCCTTGGATCAGTTTCATCCGAGGCATTTCCTGCTGCTTGATGATGATGGCTTAGACTTGCTTGCAGGCTTGTGGCAGTGCTGTGAGGCGAGAGGCCTCTTACCCCAAACAACTCCTACGGGTTTTAATGCCCATGCTGCCGAAGCCATCCACTGGGCATAAGCTCATTGTGCTCTACAGCGGTAGGTACCGCATCTGGCAAAGGCTGCGGCGGCCTATGCTAGATGCACCCATGGAGGAGGTGGAGCGTGGGTACTGGGGTGCTGGTCGGGGGAGAAGTTCGGCGGACAGCGCGTGGACACAAGCGGCGCGTGTTGAGGCTGATGTTGCCTCGAACCGCTTCAGTGTGCTCATCATAGCCGGCTACTTCAGATATTATGAGACCATCCCTCTAGTTGCACTTCGGGATAAATTTCTCGAATTTAAAGTGCCCGCTGCATTTTTGAAACTCGTTTTCACTGTGTGGAGGGCTCCTCGAGTGCTGCGCCTCAGGCAGCACCACTCAGAAGGGGTCGCACATGCGAATTTCGGGTTGCCTACGGGCGATTGTTTTAATGATACCAGCATCAAAGTGCATGCTGTGAAGGCGTTTGATGATTTTGTAGCTGGCCAGCCTCATCTCGTTCGTTTTACTTCCTACATCGGTGATTCGGGGAACCAGATCTCCAGCTCTCAGAGACAGAGTGCTGCGCAGCTTGCGGTCTCGACAGGCCGTGCTTTGTATAACGAATAAGCAGATTCATACAGCAGTAAAATAAAAAGTTGCCGTTGTTGCTAGCGGGGTGCCCCTTGCAAGTGAAGTGGTGCGCGGCCTAGGGTTTGAGCCCAAAGTTGCGAAGCAGTCGGTCAATTACCTCGAAGTTGACGACAGTGCAGGTGCCAAGCATTCAGCTGCTCGCGCGCGCGTCAAACAGCGGCCCCGTCTTTGGGGAATGAAAGTGCGCGGTAAAAATTTTTGGGAGGTTTGTTTACAGAGCCCCCAGCAAGGAGGCCAAGAAGGGGGTCTCTCAGGTTCGTCGCACTGGTGTTGCGCCCGCCTCGTCGTACGGGTCTGAGGTTTTGGGTTTCTCGGGTGCTGAGCTCAACGCTGTGCGAAGGACCCAAGCTCGTAGGATGCCGCCGTCTCATGGAGGAACCAGTGCGACGGCTAAACTTGTTTTGTACGGGGAGTGGGACACTAGAGCAGCAGTTGGTCCCGCCCTGCAATGGTGTCGCATGCTTTGGAATGCCCAGGTCCGTCCCGCTCGTTCCTGGATCCCTTTCTAGGAGTTGCTTCAGCTCTGGGAGCAGGCTAAGGCCAGCCTTGCTGGCGATTGGAAGTCCAGCCGTGGCCCTCTTGCTCGGGTTACCTTGTCGGCACGACGTGCTGGATGGAACGTGGTGTCAGGAACGCAGTGGATCGACCATTGGGGCTGCATGGTTGATATAAGCAAGACCCCACCTCGCCTCCTCCTTGATCTTCTCAGAGAGGGCCTCCAGAGAGAGGCTGAGCTTCGTTTTGCGAACAGGCTCGGGCACGCGCAAGGTACGCGAGCCACCTTTGACCTGGTTCGTAACTGCATGTGCACGCGCAATAAGAAGCACACTCGCCAGCAGCAGTTCCTTCTCTTGTCATGCGTCACGGATGCGATTTGGACCGAGGCACGCGCGTGCGATGCTGGGTACCTCACTGATGGCATGTGCACGTGTGGACAACGTGACACGCTGCACCATATATTATACACCTGCACGCGCCCTGAGGTTGTCGAGGCCCGACAGACCCTTGAGATCCCGTCCGAATTTTTTGAGGAGGGGGCACACAGTGACGACCCTGTCTTCACTCGTGGTTTGTTTTTGTTCTCGGATGATGATGTGCCCCCTCCAGCCCCCCATGCAAACTGTGAGATTCTAGACGGCGCAGGACTCGATTTGAACAAGCAACCGGAGGATCTTGCGAAGCTAGCAGGAGATGTGGTGGAGCTCAAGATGGCGTCCGACGGCAGCTGCACCAAGCAGGCCCTCCGCTGCCTCCATCGAGTTTCGTGGGCGATCGCCCTCTTGGAGCCAGGCAGCGAATCCCTCCTTGCTGTCTTGCGGGGTATTGTTCCTGGCGGTCTGCCCCAAACCCCTGCGATGGCTGAGCATGCGGGGGCGGCCTTGGTAGGACAGGTTGCAGATAGACCCGCTTCGCTGGCTCTTGATTGTAAAGCTGTGATTTGTCAGGCCCAGAGGCCGCTCTGGAAACAGTCTATGGGATCAAATAAACTTGCAGGTGCGAGGCGTTTTGCTCACGAGCTAGCTGGCACGGAGAATCTGTCGACCTTCCATGTAAAGGCTCATCGAGAGCTGTCTGCCCTTGGGGAACTGGAAGGAGATGATCGTAGGTTTGGTATTGCGAATCGTGCCGTGGATGGGCACGCCAAGAAGGCCCTTGAGGGCCATCCTCGGCCCGCGCCCAAGTTGTTTGACCATGTTGAGTTGTATCGAAACCGTGCCCACGTTTTTGTTCAGCTTGCTGCAGAAGTCTTACCCCTCTTCATGAATGAAGTGCGTTGGAAGCGAGCGGCATTCACAACCCAGGGGAGAAGACGCCAGCAAAAGACTTGGCACCTCTGGAGGAGATCTGAACTGGGAGTGCAGTTTCGGCTTTGTTGGGTAGTGTGCGATCGACCCGACAGGCCCATGCTAGGTTGCAAGGGCCCGCCTCCTGCTCTCCAGACGCTGCTGCGTGATCCCCTCGGGCACCAGCTCGTCGCCGTGTCGGGCTCGGTTCTGGAAACGCCTCGGTCGGCTGCCGTCCTGGGCCCCTGCCGCGAGCAGCAAATTCTGTGTTTAAAATGCGGGGGCTGGACACAAGGGAGAGCCGTGAAGCTCGCTGAGGTCTGCGCTAAGCCGTCGCGTAAGGGACTGGATGTCCTGAACCGCTTTCGGCGTAGGCTCGGCCCCAACCCCAAAGTCAGAGCTGTGCTAGAAAAGGCGCTTCCTGTGTCCCAGCTCAATGTTGCTAGAGAGGCGGATGACAAGCCCGAGTTGTGCAATACCTCAGTACTGCGAGCGTTTTCGGACTCTCCCTCGGCCCCCGCTTTCGAGCAGCGAATGGCGGCCCTTGTCGCCAGGATCAAAGCTAAAGAGGAGGAAGGAGCCTCCAGGGCGATTTAACTCGGGTCGATCTCCCTAAAGCTTTTGGTGTTGTCACCTCCCGACCTTTCAAGGCGCTGTCTATCAATCCATCCTCCTCCTCCTCCTCCTCCTCCTCCTCCTCCGTCCAAAAGCACACATCCTCCCCAGACCCCCTTCGAGTCATGAGAAATCACGACGGGCTTTTTGTGTCGCTGTGTTCGGCCTCTGGGGGGCCCTCACCGGGCCTCGGGGCCGTCAAACAACGCCACGGGATGAAATATTGGCTCCAGGGAACGGGTCGAGACCTCTGGGGGTCGAAGTCATGTAAAATCACGACGTCGGGGGTCTGGATCTGTCTCACCCCTCCTGCGCGCCATCGGGCTGCATCGGCACGGAGTCGGAATCGCATGGGATCGGCCGCGCCGGGACGCACAACGACGCCATGCAGGCATCGGGCAACATCGACTCTTCGAAATATCCGAAATCGAATCGGACCGAGCCGGGCGAAGTCGATATCGACTCGGATCGGATCGGATCGAGATGGACCCTGCCATCGGAGGGAGACCCTCCCCGTCGCCAGCATCTCGCGCAGTGCCACCCGCTTGTCCTCCTCGGACGTATCTGGCTTCAGCTTGTTCCATGGCTCCACCTGGCCAGCAAGGGAGAACGAGGAGGATCGAGGCTCGAGGTGCTGCCGTGTCTGACCCCTCTCGAAGCTCCGGATGCTGGCAGAGACCTGCGGATACCTCTGGACCTATGGCGGGCGTTGGCAGAACTGGGTTTAGTGGAACCTGGTTTAGTGATGTGTACCGGGGGTGCCCCCCCGTCATATTTCCACTAACCGGAACTGCCGTCACCCGAGAAACATTAGTTACGGCAAACCTGGTTTAGTGAATCTGGCCAAGTGAGGGGCCCCAGGGCCCTACCACTAACCGGGTCCCCTTAACCGGGGTCCTGGCTATACCCGACTATGAAGACATCCAGGGGCTTCTGGATACCTCCAGCCTGCTGGCATGCCCAGACCTCCAAAAGCCGCAGCGAGAAGATCGCGACGGCCAATTCTTCAGCGCGTTTTGGCCTCCGAGGGAGCCCTCTCGCGCCCCGAGGCAGAAGAGAAGGACCTGGGCGTAGAGAGAGGCGGGCCAGCACGAGAGAACGACGAAGGGAGGGAGGAGGGAGGAGAGAGAAGGGAGGCGGGAGGAGGGAGGAGAGAGGAGGGAGGAGGAGGGAGAGGGCGGGCCCCCCCTTTCTGCCCCTGCCTACCCCTCGGCTTGCCTCTCCCTGCCCTGCGAGCCGTCGCCCTGGTGCCCCTTTACCTGCCCTGCCCAGCGTGCTGGGTTCCGCGGCGCCTGGCCTCGGCATGGGTCGTTCTGCTGTTGGCCCCTCGTATCACGCGTACTCGCTTCAGATAGCCCTGCCTTCCTCGCCATGTTTCCTCCTGTTTGCCTTGCCAAACCAAGGTTTGGCCCATCCTCCTTCATTATTCTGCCTTGCTGTGTCTTGCGAAGCCTTGCCATGCTCTGTTTTAGTTTGGTGTGATTTGCCTTGAATGGTGCTGCCTTGCTGCGCGGTGCCATGCAATGCGCTGCTCGTCCATATCGTGTGTGGTTCTCCCCCCCGTTCCACGACTCTGCAGGCTCTTCCCACCCCGCTCTATGCTCTAAAGTGGACTGGCTTATGCCGTAATGCCTCTGCTGCGCTCTGCACTTGTTCGCTTGGTGTGCCCTGCTGCATCACGGTTTGCGACGCTTTGGTACAGCCTGCGCCGCCTCGCGAGGCCTTGTTTTGCCCTGAGTCCTCTCCGCGTGAGGCATTCCTCAACAAGATGCTTGATGTCGTCTGCCTCTGACTGCATTGCAGCCTTGCTTCGTTATAGATATATCCATGTATGTATACATATATGTACATAAATATATAATCCTCCTCCTCCACCTCGACATGCTCCTGCCCGCCACTCGTCCCCCTGGCTGGTCCTCCTCGCCCTCCTCCTCCTCCTCCTCCTCCTCCATCTCGACATCCCTCGTTCTGCACACGACTGCGCCGTTCCCTCCTGCGCCCTGCGCTGCCCTGCGCTGGCCGCGATGCCTGGCGCCGCGCGGCCCCTCCCCGCGTGGCCCTCGCCGTGCCATGCCGCGCGTTTCCGCGCACCGCCCTCCTCACCGCCGACGCCGTCGAAGAAGGCAGACGGGCAAGCAAAGGTGGGGGGGGCAAAACTTAACGGGCGAAGAACGGTATAAAATAAACTTTTTCGCCGTCGAGGACACCTGCCCCTGGGCGGCTGGAAAGTTTATACCCTTACGGTGGCACCGTAGGGGTATAAACTTTCCAGCCGCCCAGGGGCAGGTGTCCTCGACGGCGAAAAAAAATGTTATACCGTTCTTCGCTCGCTGGAAAAAAACACACACACACAAGCAAGCGCGCTGGCAGGCAGAAGCGTGGGCGCCAAGGCGAGCGGGCAAGCTCGATGCCGGCGCTGAAGCGAGCCTGCAGGCATGCACGCGAGCAGACCGCAGAGCTATCAGGCAGGCGGCACTTCCAGCACGAGAGTTCTGGGGGCCACGGGAGCCCAGCGGTCCTGAAGTATGCCGCTGCCTGTTCGGCGACTTGAGTTTTATGCAGGAGAACCCGTGACGCTCGGAAGAAATTTGGCAGCCAGAAGTGTCCTGAAAGCGTCGGGAAGTGGAGTGCTGCGTGAGTCGCCGACGTGACAGCGTGAAAGCTTCCAGACGATAGGAAGAGAGAATCGCCCCGCCTCCGATATCGCTGCGTTGGATATGGACGCTATGCTGAGCGCTACGTCCGCTGCCTTAGGGAAGTCCACGCGCTCGTAGTGTCCTGAGACTGTAGGCGTGCTATCGTCGTCAACAAGCACAAGAAACACATCACGGCGACACACACAATGACTCCTGCTTGCTGTGTACTGCTGCTGGGTTTCATCCGTCTAGGCTTTCTACCCTCAACTACCCCCACGAGCCGACCGCGGCGCGCTATTTCGAATGCCACCCCTTCCGCCACCTCCAAGGCTTTCCATTCCACGTGCTCAAGAGCTCGGAAAGATCGCTGTGGACGAGACGCAGGGGCAGCGAGCTGCTAGACACGAAGACGTACACGAGAGGCCGACCGAGGCAAGCAGGCGCGCGGATGCTTCCGCGATCGCCGACCAGAGGTGGCTGCCCGCTGAGCCGGGTGCATGCCAATCAAGACTGGCACACCACCTGGGAGACGATGGATAGATCGCGGCGTGGAACTTCTCCTCCTCCTCCTCCTCCTCCCTCCTCCTCCTCCCTCCTACTCCCTCCTTCTCCTCCTCCTCCTCCGCCTCCTCCTCCTCCTCTAGCGGCCACAGGGGTAAGAACACGGCAGAAAATTCCTGCCACGATGCTGACTGCCTCCAGCGTCTTCAAGCGCACCGGGTTCTCTGATGCAATCTCCTCGCTATCGTACAAATCTAGGGCCGACATCGGTTCTGCATTGAACTTCCGGCACAGGGTGAGAATACGGTGTACCAGGTTGCCCAACTCGTTCGCCAAGTTCGTGTTCACTCCCTGGAGATTTTTACCACTCCACGCCACCGACACTCAATCTCCTCCATCCTCCGAGCCCCCTCCCACATCCTCCTCATCCTGCTCCCTGCTCCTTTGTCCCTCCTCCCTCCTCCTCCTCCTACTCCTCCTCCTCAACCTCATCCTCATCATCCTCATCACGACCATCATCATCTACGACGAAGATAAAGGGTTCGAGAGCAGCGGTGATGAAGCAACTGTCGAATGCAGGGGTGGACTTCGCAGCAGCCGTCAAGAAAGCGAAGCTCGTACTTTCCATCAAGTCTGCAGTCATTGGCCATGACAAGGAGGCAGCGCAGAACATGATGTTCAAAAGGCACACACAGCGGAAGTATCACAGTGAAGGTGAAGCAGTGGGTTCCTGACCTGGGTAGTCTGGATACTAGAGAATCGAGAGCAGCGAGCTGAGGGGGTAGAATAGTACAAAGAGTGTAGACAGAGGCAGTAAAAGAGAAAGAGAGAGAGAGAGAGTGAGAGGGATAGAGAGAAAGCGAGAGCGAGTGTGTGAAAACAAAGAGCGAGAGAGGGAGAGAGAGATGGAGAGAAATTGAGAGATAATGAGAGGGAGAGGCAGATATAAAGAGAGATAAGGAGGGTATGCATACGGCAGGGAATATTGATCTATCAGTATATATGCATGTGTATTTTTAGAGATATAAAGCGAGAAAGGGACAGAGAGAGATAGAGAAAGAAGGAACACAACGGACGAACGACCCAACCATATGCAATGGTGAGTACAGCAATTCAGAAGATCCTCCTGGGTGAGCCCCCCTATGACGCCACGAAACATGTGACGGGTGTATCGAAATTGATTGGGAGTCGCTTGCGAACCCTGCCACTGCGGCCTTCGGTGGAGCTCCCTATGGGGCCACGGAGCGTGTGAGGGGTGTGCCGAAATGGGCGGGGGACCGCATGCGAACCATGCCACTAAAACCTTCAGTGGAGCTCCCTGAACATAATGTCTCAGGCGTGTGCAGACATGGGTGGGGAACCGCATGCGAATCTTGGCACGGAGGCCTTCGATGGAACTCCCCATGAGGCCACGACACGTGTTGGTGGTTTGCCGAAATGGGCGGGAAACCGAATGCGGACCCTGCCACTGAGGCCTTCGGTGGAGCTCCACATGGGCCACGGAGTATGTAAGGGATATGCCGACCGAAATCGGCGAGGAACCGCATGGGGATCCTACCAATGAGGCCTGGCTTTCGGTGGGGCTTTCCATGCGGCCACGACAAGGCCTTCGGTGGAGCTCCCTATGGGGCCACGAAGCGTGTGAGGGTGTGCCGAAATGGGCGGGGAACAACATGTGAACCCTGCCACTGAGGCCTTCGGTGGGGCTCCCCGTGGGGCCACGAACCGTGTGAGGGATGTGCCAACATGGGCGGGAAACCGCACCCGAACCTTGCCACGGAAGCCTTTGATGGAGCTTCCCATGGAGCCTCGAAAAGGCCGCGGCCATGGGTCCCCGCCAAGAGGTCACAAGCTACGCGCATTCCTGACGAAAATTATGCTGGCACTCAGCGGCCATCGTATCAGAACGGCCAGCCGCACCTATAAATGCGCAGGTTGAAAGCACATCAGCCCGTCTGTCGGAAAGGGGACCAGGGGGTGCCCAAACGCTTTCGTCGCTCTGTCACTGGGTGGGCGATTCTCGCGCCTGTTGCGCCCCTGGGATTGCGCATTGCGTCGCAAACGCGGCTGTAAGTGTGAAACGAAATTGAGGAGCCCACAAAGGACGTACGCGCACAGCTATGTACATGAACACGGCCCCTCGATTCGCGAGACTGGCCGCGTTATACGAACATTTGTGCAATGCGTGCTCTCGAAACCAGCGTGGATTCATGTACATTTACGTCCTTCATTCGCTCCTGAGAAATCCGAGGCAACCTGGGACAACCATGTATCTGAGTTACGTCTGTGTGCCTTCGGGACGCACAGTGCCCTGCGGACGACGGAGTGCACACGCACGGAGCACGGTCCGGACCCTTCCCACACACGCCGCGCTCCGGCCAAGGGTCCCTATACACCCCGCGGAGGAATCCTGCCGTGAAACCTCTCTCCTCTCTCTCTCTCTCTCTCGCTCTCTCTCTCTCTCTCTCTCTCTCTTCCCACTCGGGGATGGACAGACCTCCCTTTGGTAAAACGTGGCTTAGTGAAAACGACCTGAGGCCCAAACCTGGCGTGCGCAAGCCTGGAAAATAACGGCCGCGGCGCCCTCTCGAGAACCGAAAACGCACAATTCACTAATCGACGTGTCACTGTTGGGGGTTCTGTCCGCCCCTGACCCACGTCTTCCTCCCACACTGCCAAAAGGCTACGACGCCGAAGTCGGCAAAGCGCGGCGTCGAACATCGGGGGTCGTGTCGGCTGGAGCAGGCCATCGCGGAGATCGATGCGAGTCGGCCCAGCGGCGTCGGCACTCGCCCTCCACCGGCCGCAGGGCCACGGAGGCGCGACGAGCTCGCATGGCGCGGGGCGGGGGGTGCCGGGCCGCGTGCTGCACGCATCGAGCAACTGGCTCCCAAACCGCGCTCCTTGATAAAGTTCACGTAGCTGAAGTCCCCGTCTTCGCCGAAGTTGAGGCAGGCCGCGAAATAGAACCTGCTCGGCCGTGTGACCCCCTCGAGGCATGTGTAAGTCCACGGGCCGAAGACGCGCACTTAAAGAATTCATACGGGCAGCGGGGCTAGCTTGACCGAGGCCCGAGCAGAGGAAGGTGTACTCTGACGCACGAAGGGCCATCGCGCTGAGGGTAGCATAGCAAGTAGCAAAGAGACGTCGCGGGTGCAGGCCTAAGCCTTTTATGCCCGGCGACGAGTCTGCAATCGAGCAGGACATGCAGTGCTCGCTCGCCCATGACTTCCTGACAAGCTGGAGGTAGACCGGAGCCAAGCTTCCAGGCTTGCTAGCGCCGCACCTACAAGGCCACGAACTGCGGACAACGTTGATGGGGGCAAAAAGGGTACCGATGCCGCTGCTCCCTGGATCCCTCGCCGGGTGCGTTTTGGCCATGAGTTCGAGGCGAATCCAGCCTTGGCGACGAGGGCTCTCCAGGATGAGCAGCGCATCGGTGTGCTTCTCTTCCTCTGGCAGCGGAGGAGCACGAGAGCCGAGCCGAGAAACGGTGCACCGACAGGGTCACGGACTGCGGGCACAGGGCCGCTGACACTCCACCAAACGGGGCCAAGCGAGGCCACGGGCAACGATGGGGCAACGAGACAGCCAGTAGCAATAACGACCTCGAAGCAGGCAGGCTGCCGTCCGACCCCCAGAGGAGGAGGGCGGAGAAGAGAAGAAAGCAGACGAGGATGAGAGGAGGAGCGGTGTAAACCCAAGATTCATCAACGATGTTGGAATAAACACTCCCTTCAAGCTCCCTCTCCATAGTCCCCTACAGGGGTTCATTTCCAATGAGGGAACTGCCTCGTTGGGAGACAACCGTTTGAGGACCATGAAGCATGCCGAAACACAATTCTCTGGACTCCAACGCCACGGAACAACTTGACTGTTGCGCCTGGACGATCCTGAATCGTGCCAGAACACTATTCCTGGGACCTCAACACCGCGAATCAAAGAACTGTTGGGTCCTCGCAGTACTGAGCCTTTCCAAAACACCATACTTGATACGCTGACCAAGGGAATCCGCGAAACTCTGTTAATTCCTAAAACGGATGCGCGAGGCGCTAAAGCGAGAAACACATTTTGGAAACGAGCACCAGCAATCCGCGAAGCTCTTGTAATTTGAAAAAACGGCCCGCCCTCAATCCGTGAAGCGCTTGCAACTGTTTAGAACGAGTGCACGCGGCTGTAATGAAAGAGCCACATTTTGAAAACCACACGCCCTCCACTTGTGAAACTGTTGCCAACTTGTGAGCCTCAAGGTCATAAGCGGTGATGAAGTCTCCAGCGAAACGCGCAGCCCGCCCTTTCGACCGGCCTCGGGGTGCGACATGGAGGAGTTACTCACAAGGACAATAATGGATGATGAGGAGGAGGAAGGATGAGGAGGAGGTGGAGGAGGAAGAGGAGGAGGTGGAGGAGGAAAAGGAGGAGGACAACGAGGAAGATAAGATGGAACGCCACGAAATTGCCCAACCGCGCCCCGCGAGATCAAATCGAATCACGGCGCGTCCGAAATTGAACCGGGTTGCAAACCCGCCACCGCCGCACTGGTGCCACAGGCATGGCGGCTTGGTTAACCACCTGCCTATGGGGCCGCGACACGTGTGAGGGGTGTGCTGAAATTTATTGGGCGGCCGCCTGTGGACACGGCCACTGGGGCCTTCCGAAAAGCTCCCTTCTTGGGGCCGCGGGACGTATGAGTGGCGTGCTGAAAGAGATGGGGCGGCCGCCTGTGGACATGGAAACTAGGGCCTTCGGATGAGCTCCCTGTGCGGGAACCTGTGACGGGTGCGTCGAAACAGGTTGGGCGGCCGCCTGCGGACATGGCCACTGAGGCCTTCGGAAAAGCTCCCCGTGGGGCCACGGATCGTGTGATGCGTGCGCCGACATGGGTGGGGCACGTGTGGGGCCTTCGGTGGAGCTCCCTATGGGGCCCCGGGTCGAAGTCGAGGTCGCTGCGGCTCCCCAGGCACCGGCCACGGCATGTCCAGCATGCTGGAAAGCGAGCGATGCCCGCGTGATGCTTCGCTGCCCCGACACGCAGCACGCAGCACGTAGCGTACTGGCACGGAGCTCGGCACGTGGACTGCAACCGTAGGTGCGTTCGCCCGAACGCGGGGCAACACGCGCCGAACCAACACGCCACGTACGTGTGAGCACGGACGTTTTCAACACGGTGCGTGTTGCGTTTCAACACGGGCGTGTCAGGGCAGCCAAGCGACCGATGTCTCGGCCAGCGCCCGCGTGGTGGAAGCCTTTTGCACATGCGGCCCTGCTCTTTAAACTCCACCAACCATGGCCGCAGGCCACGGGCACGCGGGCCAGGGCCGCTCGCTTCCCCAGTTCCGATTCGAAGATCCCTCTGTTCCTGCTCTCAACCTCCGCTCTAGCCGGCCACGGGCCACAAAACACGGCCTTCCGATCCACGGACTCCGTTTTTTATGGGCACCCCGCCCAGCAGAACGGTCGTGCAGCGCCAGCTGCCAGGTGGCGCATGACAGCGACAAAAGTTGGCTACGGGACGGTCGAATCCAATCGTGAGCAACCCTGCACGCAGCAAGCAAGACGGAAAGGGAGCCGCACGGCGTCGGCGCCGAAGTTCTCCACGAGGGGCACCGGCTCCACCACGTTGCCCAGGGACCTTGGCAGGGCGTCGACCCCGCGCCCGACCACCCATCGGAGCTCGCCAGGGGTGATCCCCGGCACGAGGTGCCCCGGCCCCCCCCCCCCGAACTCGTGCAGCCAGCCTGGGTGAGCAAGGGCTCCCAGCTTCGCGCTTCGCGCTGCGCGAAGCGCGAAGCGCGGAGTGCGAAGAACTCCGCGCCCTCGCGCCGCCTCTTCCGGGGAAGAAAGGAGGACGAGGAGGACTCGGAGCCGCATCGCGAACCGCGACGCGCGGAGAACTTCGCGCCCTCGAGGGCGCCCGCGGTGAGGGCCGCCTCCGGCGGCCCCCGGAGTCTGGGCCCTCCGACTGCGGCAGCCCCGGTGCCGAGAGGCCGTGGGGGGGGCAGCTGCGGCAGGCGGGCCCCGGGTCGCATCGAGGAGCCGCATCGGCGCTCGACGCGGCATCTGCTGGGCCTGTTTTCCACCACCACCACCACCATAAGTTGGAGGGGGGAGGGGGCCCTCCTCCCCCTCCTCCTCCTCCTCCTCCTCCTCCTCCTCCTTCTCCTCCTCCTCCTCCTCCTCCTTCCATTTCCTCCTCCTCCTCCTCCTCCTCCTCCTCCTCCTCCTCCACCTCCTTCCCCTCTCCAACTTATGGTGGTGGTGGTGGAAACCAGGCCCATCAGAACCGGGTCGGCGGAAAGATCGGCAGCCACGTCGGGAGACATCGAGTCGGCAGAACTCGGCAGGTCGGTCGACGAGCCGCTGTTGAGAGATCGGAGCCCGCCTCGGAACCCGACGCCGAGGCGAATCGGAAGCGGAAGCCATCGGAGTCGAGTCGGATCGAACCGGAGGCATCGAAACGAGGCCCAGCCGCGGTCCCGACGGCAGCGCGAGATGGCTTCAAGGCCTGGCCTCCCCGAGGAGCACCGCGCTCCGCGTGCGCACGGCGCCAGCGGGCGCGCGGCAGCGCGGCGGCCTGCGCGCCCCTGCGGGTGACCCGGGCTGCCCCGCGCACCACTCCGCAGCCCACCCCGGGAGCGGCCGGCTGCCTGGCCAGCCCGGACCTCCTCTTGGGGCGCTTCGGGGCCGTCTTGGAGGCCATCTTGGCCGTCTTGGAGGCCATCTTGGGCGCCTTGGAGGCCATCTTGGGCGTCTTGGAGGCCTCTTGGCCCATCTTGGGGCCCTCTCGGGGCCGTCTTGGGGGCGCCTTGGGCCGTCACGGGGCCGTCTTGGAGGCCTCTTGGGCGAGCGACCCGAGGTTCGGCTAACGACGTCAGAGTGACCCTGGGCAGGAGTGACCTTCTAGCGCGCGGACGGGGGGGGGAATGCAGGGTGGCCGAACCCAAGCGCGCGCAGGCAGCCGCCATCGCATCGCGCTCCGCCAGCGGGGGGGCCCCGGGTGAGCACGCACCAAAGGTCACTCCGGCGAAGGGTCACTCCTACGCGCAGTCGAGAGGGGGGGTGTGCTCGGAGGCGCGGGCCCCGGCGCAGAATGCACGATCCCTGCTCGGGCTTTCGCAGTCCACAATCCCAAACGTGTGATGCTGACACCTGACACTCGAAAAGCCCACAGCGCAGCACTTGAGACAATCTGCAGCTCACTGCCTGGAACCTGTGATACTGATAGCCCTCAGCTTGCAGGCCCGCCGTGAGTTTCCAGCGGCCACGCCACCGTCGGCAGACTGGCCCGAGGAGGGACACATAGATGGTACGGCCCTGTCTCCTGGCCCGCGCGCGCAGGGGCGAAGAGGAGACAGGGAAAAGAAGTGGCATGACGACTGGCTGTGCTGCTCCGCTTCGCGGGGCCTGGCGACGCTGGCACGAGAGACGCCAGAGCCGGTGACAAGGATGGGTCCCGGGGCTCTTCGGGCCCCTCCACGCCCGCCCCATGGGAATGGAGGGGGGGAGTGGGGGCGGACGCATGCGCGCACGCGAGCACGCGCGCACGCCCCCCCGCGCACGCCCCCGCGCACGCCCACGACGCGACACGACGCGACGCAGCGCACCACAGCACAGAGCAAACCACGTGCGCGCACATACGCACACCAGAGTCACGCGCACATGTGCACGCGCACACACCTCCGCGTAATTACACAGCTACTCACTCACCCACATGCACACGCTGTTTGGCGTCGCGGCCGCGCGCGGGGCCGTGCGGCGTAGAACGTCGCGCGCGGCGTGGGCCACAGGGGACACTGGATCCGCCCACAGGGGATCGACATCGTCACTCGCGGGGGGGCAGGCGCAGGGGGCAAGAGACGGGGACACGGGGAGAAGCCGGGAAGACGGGGAACGCGAGGCGGTGCACAGCGCGAGCGTGGAGGGCGAGGCGCAGCAACGGGCCGCAGAGGCGGGCCGCGGGGGGCAGAGCCGGGAGGCAGACGAGACCCGGGGCGCGGCAGGCGCCAGGACCATGGCAGAGGCAGCGGCGAGCTGCGCGGGGACGAGGGCAACACCGCACGGGGCGGCAGAGCAGGCGGGGAGAGGCACCAACACGGGCCCCCGAGGGCAGGACCGGCGCCAACAACCGACTCAGGAGGAGGAGGAAGAGGAGGAGGAGGAGGAGGAAGGAGGAGGAGGAGGAGGAGGAGGAGGGGGAGGAGGAGGAGGATGAGGGGGAGGAGGAGGAGGAGGAGGAGGAGGAGGAGGAGGAGGAGGAGGAGAGGAGAGGAGGAGGGAGGAGGGAGGAGGAGGAGGAGGAGGAGGCGGTCGGCTGGGGGGCGAGGAGCAGGGGGGGAGAGGCCAGAGAGCGGCAGCGCAGGGCGCCGCGGGAGCGAGGCGCAGCAGGAGGCACGCCGTGCTCTCCCACCACGGCGCGGCGCCGGGCCGCGAGGCAGAACAAGAACGTGCGGGGGCAGCCGAGTGCAGGAGGGGCCCAGAGCAGAAGGTGCAGAGAGGGCGTGGAGGACGAGGGAGGGGGGAAGGGAGAGGCGAGGGAAGGGTGCGGAGGAAGGGGGGAGGAAGGACCGAGGGGGGGGAGGCGGAGGAGGAACAGCAGGAGCGAAGAGAGGAAAGATGAGAGATGATGATGATGATGATGATGATGATGATGATGGAGGAGGAGGAGGAGGAGGAGGAGGAGGAGGAGGAGGAGGAGGAGGAGGAGAAGGAGGAGCTGGATGAGGGGGAGGAGGAGGAGGTCAGTCGGGAGAAGCCGGTCGGGAAAGGTGCGGCGAATTCGTGGAGCGTCGACGCCTCAGCCCCAGCACTGGCGCTGATGCGTCGACGCATCAGCCCCGGCACCAGCGCCTCTCAGGCGGGGCGCCAGCGTGAGTCGCGGCATGAGCCGCACCCGAGGGGGGTCACCGACGAGGCGAACTGGTGCCACGGTGAGCGCGAACAAAACCAGAAGGGGGGTGATCGCTCAGGGTGGCGGCCTTGGCTGGGCGCGCGAGGTCCCTGGAGGATAGTCGCCTCTTGTACTTTCCAGTGCCCCGCGGAGGCAAGGGATCGCCCACCCGGGTGTAGCCGGAAGTGGGATCCAGCAGCTCCGTGAGCTGCGCGGCGGTGTGGAGGTCAGGGCCGGCGCGCCCGCCTCTGAGCAGCTCGGGGCCGCGGGAGTGGAAGCAGGCGCACCAGGCGCCAGGCGCCGCTGGCTTCCTGCGAGCAGGGGCGCCCCGCGTCTGCCACGCGCTGGACGAGAGCACGTCGAGCGGCCTCAGCCTCCCGTGTGGCGGCGACGGCTGGGGCGAGGCTGCGCGCGGGCGCGGCGGTGCGTGGCCCGACCGAGGCGGGGGCGCCGTCCGCTGAGCTGTGGCGCGGGCGGACCGGGGAGCCGGGCCTCGAGGGGTGCGGTGACGGGGGGGCGGGGGCGCGGCCGGGGGACGCGGACGGCCGGGACACGGGTTTGCAGCACTGCTCCCCCGCCTCCGCGGCCCGTTGTCTCGGAGGCCCCACAGCGGGCCGTGCTAGCAGCACGGAGTCTGGGACAACAAATCATTGTGTCCAGACCCGCCTCGGGGACGCGGGCGGCCGCACTGGCGGGGCCCGGGCAGCGGCGGCGGAGCGCGGGGGCGAGCCGCGGGGAGAGGCGGGGCCAGGCCTCGGTCTGCGAGGGCCCCGTCCAGGCCGCGGGGCCCACGGAGGTTCGGACGCCACCTGGCACCCACTCGGCTACACGCATGTCGGTGCGACCCTGCGCAAGGGTAACCTTTCGTGCCTGGCTTCCGGGGACCGCTAGAGGGGCCAAAGCCAAGCGTGCTGGCTGGTGCTGGGGGGAGGCCCTGAAGCCCGCACCAAAGGTCACTCCGGCGAAGGGTCGCTCACTACGTACAATCCTTCCACGGCGTGCGGCGTGGGGTTGGACCCCGCCCGTGCGGCAGGGGCAGCGGCGGCATGCTCGCGGGACCCTGGCCGCCCACCAGACCACCCAAACCCAACCCGCAGACCGAAAATTCGGGTTGGGTGGGTGAGGGTTCCATGTGTGCGTGCGTGTTTTCAATGCTCCCCGACGCAACCCCTCCCACTGGGACTGGAGGGCAAATGGGGGCCTTCGGGTTGGGCTGGGGTGCTTTGGTCGGGGGTGACGCACGGGTCAAGGCCTCCCAAATGGGGTCGGAGGATCGCGCCGCATCGCCGATTCACCGGCGATACAGCTCGATGTGGAGCCCGACTTCCTCCACGCCGACGTCGCCGAAGCATCGCAAACGTCGGCGATGCATCAGCGATGCATCGGCGATGCGCTGGCAGCGGGACTGGCAGCGCTGGCGGGACGAGCCTCTTCGGCGCGTCCCCGAGGCCGCGCGCGCCACACGCCTGCGGGGCAGGGCGCCTCCGCAGGAGAGGCGCCCGCCGAGGGGGCCGCGGACGAGGGCACCCGCGGACACAAGGCCAGAGGGGGAGACGCGGGCGCCGCATGTCGGGAGCGGCCAAGAGGGGGGTGTCCAAGAGGGGGGGGTGCAAATCATGACCGGCAGCATGTGCGCGGCCCACCGGGGGGGCCAGGGACGTAATGAAATAAGAAGAGGCGCCAGGAAATCCGCGGAAATATCATGGCCCACGCCATGATATCCACCCCCCCTGGTCATCACCCCCCTCTTTTCCACCCCCGAGAATGGCGTGGGGAACCTCCTGCTCGCTCCTGCTCGCTCCTGCTCGCTCCTGCTCGCTCCTCCTCCTCCTCCTCCTCCTCCTCCGCCTCCTCCTCCTCCCTGCAGGGCGCGCGGGGTGGGGGGGGGCCACGGGGCACCCGACGGGGGCGCCGACCACGCTCCGCCCGCGCAGGCAACACACTGCGGCCGGGGGAGCGCGCCTGCCTGCGTGGCGGCGGGGGCTAGCCTCCGCGGCGGGGGCGCTCCCGGGCTGGGCGGCGGGCGGCGTGACCATTACCAGCCTCGAGCGTATCCCCACCCCAAAGATTGACACGCCAAGAGGCGATGACAATCTTAGGGATGCGCCCTCAAAAAATCAGGGAATCCCTGAGACTGGCATCGCGATGAGGAGGTGCCCAGCATAGGGATAGGGATATGTTCCAGGCTGGTAAGACCAGGGGAGCGGCGCCCCGCTGAACCAGCTCCTGTCGCTGCAATACAACAAGCACCGACTCAACGAGACATTGCATCATGGCGCGCCGGCGCTGAACCAGCATGCAGTTGGTGGGCTGACCCGGCGCACTGACGAGCCCCCAGTCCAGTGGGCGGCCCTTTCCATCCAGGCTGACCATTACCAGCCTCGAACGTATCCCTATCCCTAAGATTGACACGCCCAAAGGCGATGACAATCTCAGGGACTCGCCCTCAAAAAATCAAGGGAACCCCTAAGACTGGCGTCGTGAGGAGGAGGAGCCCAGCACAGGGATAGGGATATGTTCCAGGCTGGTAAGACCAGGGGCGCGGCGCCCCGGGGAAGGCTGCGCACCGGTGGCGCGGGCTGCGCACGCAGGAGCCGAGCGGCGAGGCCGCGCCGTTCGGGGAGGCACAGCGTGGCCCAGCCCTCGAGACGGTGCGCCTCCCACCCGCCGACGAAGGCAGCGAGCTCCTCTGGACGGTTGAGCTTGGGGTCGGCAGTGGCGGCCGAGGAGCGTCAGGGGAGAGGCGAGGCGAGGAAGTCGGTCCACGGGTCCTCGATCGCCGCGCGCCTGATGTCCTGCACTCTGCCGACCAGCCGAAGCGGGGCGAACAAGCGCGGTGTGGAAAGACTGCAAGGCGCGGACCTCAGGCGGGAAGCGCGGACGCCGACGCGCAATGGGGGGGCCGGCAGGCAGCGGGGCCCCGCGTGGCGGTCCGCGTCGGCCCGCTGGGAGCCGTCGCGGCTCGGCGGGCCGTCGGGCGCACCGCCCTCGCCGGCCGGCGCCCCGGAAGTCGAGCAGGATGCCGCTGGAGTGCCTGGCAGGGTCTGCCAGTGGGGTACACCCTTTTTTCGCGTCGGCGGCTAGGCAGAGTGACTGCGCTGGCGGAAGAGGCATACAGTGGGGTACACACACAGGACCGCGCGCACGCACGCACGGAAGCACGTACGCCCACCCCCCACAACCACACCACACCACACCGCACCACGCCCATGAATCGGGGTGAGGATGGAACCCGTCGGTGGGGAGGGGGTTGCCAAATTCCTTGCAATGATGGGGGAGGGAACAGAAGGTCCAGACCCCGGATACTATATCACACCCCTCGGGCCAAGATTGAGTCATCTGCGCGGCGAGACTGGGCGCTGGCGGAAAACCGTCAGCCTTGGTTACCGCCAGAAACTCTCCGAGTTTCTTGTCCCGCCTCCAGCTCGAGTGCCAGACCGAGCTCAAATCTCTCGACACTGCAGAGCGAGGCTCTTTTCATGCCCGCGCTCCCCTCAAGCGAGAGCTGGGTAGCTGTCCTAGATCCAGGGAGTGTAGCAAAACGCAGCCCGAAGCAGCAGAGCAGCTGCAGAGAGATACGCTTTTAAAAACATACAGCTTGAGTAGCAGACCGAGCTCAGGTCTCTGGGGGGGCAGCAAAGCATAGCTATTGCGTTCACCAAGCGGCAATGCTCTAGGGTCACTCTGCATCCCGAGATTTAAAATCAAACAACGTTCGATTGAGCAGCAAACCCATAAAGGTACTCGTTGTTTGAGAGTTAGCTCGAGTACAATACCGATCTCGGGTCTCCCGAGGGTTCGGATCAAAGCTTCGGATGCTGCCCGATTGTTTCGTACACTCAGGATCTCAGTAGCTACCCAAAATTGCGAAATTAATTCGACCAACCGCACGCGCGCCCCAAAACATGGTCCCAGGGCGAGTTGCCGCTGGGACACTTCTTCTCCTTCAAAGCGATATGATTGTACTGAGATCAAGATGGTGGACAGGAGAGAGTCCCTAGCTGTCTGAAATAAATGCCAGACCCAAAATACATGGCCAAATCTCGAGATATCGATTGTCAACCAACCTCTGTACACCAAAAGTTCCGTCGAGATTTCCTCGGCCAACAAGCCTGCAGGTGTTCCGGAATTGCTCTAGCTACTATTAGCTGCGCTTTAAGAGGAGCTCTTCGAGTCATTTTACAGCGCAGACAGGACACACAATCTGTGCAGGAAGACATCCCAGGAGGGGGGAAAGGGTAGAGGGGAGACGGGAAGGGAAAAGGCAGTCGATGGTAGAGGCACTCTTGATCTCGATCGCACTGCCCGTTGCCGATGGCTGCTGCCACGGATATGAAAAGCTCACGCCAGCATCACGCTTTCACTGCAGAGTCAGTAAGAACCAGTGGCTGGCTTCTTCACAGGATCCGCCAGCTCTCTGGCTTTGACGAGATGACCAAAATAAGCCGCCACCGTGCCCTGAGGCACGAGTTTGAGTGTCCTCAGGTCCCTTCGAGTTTTCTGCGTTGAATGCTGCAACCCAGATTCCCGGATCTCCTGGGCGCTACCCCGCGCTCTTGGGGTCGGTCGCGTGACTGTCCCAGAAGCCAGGGGGCGCCAAGCCGGGCCAAGATTGCCCCGAGACGATCCAAGATTGCCCCGAATTGCTTCAAGACCGCCCACAGACGCCCAAGAGGGCACACCGACGGCCCAGACGGCCCCCAAGACGCTCCAAGAGTGCTCCAAGAGGTCCCCCGAGAGGGCCCCGAGAGACCGAACTCATGATTCCCCATTGGTTGTTGACGGTTTAATGATCTCGCCTTCTCGGGCTTTCAACGCTCCAAGACGGCCCGAGAGGTCCCCAAGAGCGCCTCCCAGACCACCCAAGATAGCCCCAAGAGGCCCCCAAGGCGGCCCGATAGGGCCCCAAGAGGGGCCCAAGCGAGGCCACAGAGGGTGGAACCGAACCGACATTTCAAGACCGTCGCCCCAAAATGGACCCCCCAGCCGCCAACAGGCCTCCCAGAGGCCCCCCACAAGCTCCATGGGCCCCCCAATGAAGCTCAAATCAGACCGCAAGAGGCCGCCAAGAAACCCCCTAGAGGCCCTCAAGACAACCCCCAAAACAAATCCAAGAGAATTCCGAGAAGCTTCAAAAGAGATCCCCACAAGCATCTGCGAGGCCTCTGACCTACAACCCAGCCGCGGTGGCGGAATGGGCAGAAGGCCACTAGATATAGGATGCCTAGCACCTTCAAGCAAGCCCTCGTGAACACGACGGGACTACATTCCTTCCTGAATGGGGATACGAGCCGCGGATCTTGGCAACCTGTGCCGATGACTTCCCCATCTTGAGTCCATCCTTCGTCAAGAAGCCATGAGTGCATATGTGCTTGGGTAGTGGCAGGTCTGCAGACATGAGCATAGCTGGCCAGTAGATCGCGTGGAAGCGCATGATATCCTCCACGGGGACAGGTGAGGAGGCAGAAGGGGGATAATGATGATGTCCTTCACGGAAACAGCGTAGCGGATTGAACGGGCGAAGATCGAGAGAGATCTGAGAGAAGCCGACGGGCTCGTCCTGTTTGAGCCCGCACGGACACAAGCACTCTGCGGAGCGAGGAGCAGAAGGGTAACAGACAGAAGGAGGGAGGCAAATACAGAAGGAGGCAGGAGGCAGGAGGAGGGGGGCTGGCCAAGCACAAGCGCGCACCAGAGATACACGTGGCGAAGTGCTCCCTCCTGAGGATGTAAGGGCCTTGGAAGGCCGTGCGGACACTTTGCGAGCGGGCCAAGGATGGGCCACGGATGGGCCGAACGGGGAAGGCTGCAAGGGTAGCCTTGGAAAGCCGCTCCTCCATACTGTGCGGGCTGGCTGTGCCCCTGCAGCTCCGGGCTCTGACACGCCTGCTGGGGCTCATGACTCGGAGGACATCTGCAGCCAAGTCGACCCCAGCAGAGGCGTCCCATACCCCAGGCGTCGAAATTGGACCCGTAGGGGTAGGGTTTGCAAGAGGTCGCAGAGAATAGAGGCCTCCTAGATGGGGTCGGAGTAGATGGAGTCGGAGGATCGCGCCGCATCGCCGATGCATCGGCGGTGCATCGCCTATCCATTGGCTGTGCACTGGCGACGTCGCCGACGCATTGGCGCCGTCGGCGTGGAGAAAATCGGGCTGCACATCGAGCCGCATGGCCGATGCTTCGGTGATGCATCGGCGGTGCGGCGTGATCCTCCGACCACCTCTACAGTCGGACCTGGGACAGAAGAATCTCCTTCAAGAACGTGAGGCCCTCCGCCGGCCAAGAGACACAGGACAGCCAAGGGTACCCTCCCCAGGATGCACAAGAACATCCAACGAGCACGAAACAAATTAGGGCACCCTCCGCGAACCGACCTCAATCTTGTACCTCGGTCCAGCCGTACTCCTCCAGGTCACCTGACTTCGCCCCCTCGCGCCCCGCGATGCGCGGTTATCTCCGCGGCCTCGTGCCGCAACCCTGCAGGAGGAGCATCGATAGGGGGGACTGGCATAGGGAAAGCATCGACTTGGAATCGGCGATGCATCGCCGACTGATCGGCGATAGGCCCCCGAGCGCGAACCCGCACGCTCCTAGGCGGGGTGGGGTTATCGGACCCCCCTCGGCGATCAATGGGCGATTGGGGGTCGATAGGTCCCCCCGAGGGAGGGAGGGCGGGAGGGAGGAAGGAGGAGGAGGAGGAGGGAGGGAGGGAGGGAGGGAGGGGAGGGAGGGAGGGAGGGAGGGAGGGAGGGAGGGAGGGGAGGAGGAGGAGGAGGAGGAGGAGGAGGGAGGAGGAGGCCTCAGCCTCCCTATCGTTGCCCCCTGCTGGAGGAGGGCTCCCCGACCCGGTCCGACCGCACCCGGAGCCCATCTGGGAGGCCTGCCTGGAGAGACCCCGGCGTCGAGACTGGGCCCGTGCCGGACAGGTCTCGCAGGCGGTGGCAGAGAGCCAGGGTCGGGTCGGGCATGCCCTCCCGTCGGCGGGCTTTGGGCGAAACATAAAAAAAGTAGCCAACACTCAAAGAACAATCAGAGATAGTCCAAACATCGTCCTCAGACTGTTTCTTGACTACTTCTGGATGCTCCTCCCCTCCTCCCCCTCCTCCCTCCTCCTCCTCCTCCCTCCTCCCTCCTCCTCCTCCTTCTCCTCCTCTCTCCTCCTCCCTCCTGCCTCCTCCTCCTACTCCTCCTCCTCCTCCTCCTCCTCCTCCTCCTCCTCCTCCTCCTCTCCTTCCTCCTCCTCCCCCTGTAGAGGGACACGCCCGACTTCCAGCCAGGGCGGCGGCGGCGCGGAGGGAGTCCAGCGGAGGGCGGCGGCGCGGAGGGCGCCCCTGCGCGCCCCGGCCCGTGCCGTCGAGAGGCGCGCAGCTATTGGGGGGGACGGGCGGCAGGGGCGCACGACCCGTGGAGGCCGCGGCCGGGCTCCTCCTCCTCCTCCTCCTCCTCCTCCTCCTCCTCCTCCTCCTCCTCCTCCTCCTCCTCCTCCTTCCTCCTCCCTCCTCCTCCCTCCCTCCCTCCCCTCCCTCCCTCCCTCCCCTCCCTCCCTCCCTCCTCCTCCCCCTCCCTCCCTCCCTCCCTCCCTCCTCCCTCCTCCCTCCCCCCTCCTCCTCCTCCCTCCTCCCTCCTCCTCCTCCTCCTCCTCCTCCTCCTCCTCCTCCTCCTCCTGGGAGCTTGAAGACCGGGGGCGACGCGTCGCGACCGGTGAGGGCGGCCAAGGACGGGGCGCAGAGGCGAGGACGCCCAGGGCACCCTGCGAGCCAGCCTGGAACATATCCCTATCCCTATGCTGGGCATCTCTTCCTCACGATGCCAATCTTAGGGATTCCCTCATTTTTTGAGGGCGCATCCCTAAGATGATCATCGCCTTTTGGCGTGTCAGTCTTAGGGATAGGGATAAGTTCGAGGCTGGTAACCTGCAGTCGGACTCGAGTGGGCAGGACACGCGACAGGACACAAGATCCCTTCGCGGTCCACGGTGCCACAGGGAATGCGGGAGACAGGGGCCGCAAGACACGGGACACGAGGGTACCCTTGATCCGGCAGGGTCGACCTACTAGTCTGGGCCGCCGGTAGATGAAGGCCCGAGTCCTAGATTCGGGCCGGGCGAAAGGGGGGATAGCAAAGGGGGGGTTTGAGCGTCAGCTCACGTGGCCGATTTTCCCGGTGCCTCCCGGCGCCAGAGGCAGCGATGTATCAAGGAATGGGCCCCTCGGTGGGGCCGAAACCAGCTGCACGCAGCAGATTTCGCACCCCCCCCTTTCCCAATCCCCCCCTTTCGTCTGGCCCAGCAGATGAAGGCCCGAGTCCTTACCAGGCGCGGTGACTGCACATGCGTACGACCCCCCGGTGCGCGAGGCTAGCCTCGTGTCGGGGACGTTACAAACATGATCCAGAGACATGGGATTTGAGAGAAACCTGTGCCAGCTTGCTCGAAGTCTGCTACGACAAACCTGGGCCAAGTGTTCGTGTTCACGCTGGAGAAGCTGATGCGCTCAAGAAACTGGGCCAGCTTTCCGGCAAGTTGGCGAAGACACACTGGCCCAGCTTTTCGGGAGGAGGTTTCTGAATCAGCTGCTCGACTGTACGTGAATACGACTCGGGTGCGCGAGGCTAGCCTCGTGTTAAGAACGATCGCGAAATGCGCACTTTCGAAACCAGCGCGAGCTCATGTACATGTACGTCCTTCTTTCGCTCCTAAGGCCCGTTGTTCACGGTCCAGGGGTCCGAAAGCGGCCCCCGGAGGCAGAAAAGGGCAACAAGACTGACCGCCCTTCCTGCTGGCCGGAACCAGTGCTGGGTCACCTCAGACCCCCAGCCGGCTCCAGCGTAGGGGTAGGGTTCGCAAGCGGTCGCAGAGAGTCACTACCTACCAGACCACCCCAACCCAACCCGAAGACCGAATTTCGGGCCGGGGGGGGGGGGTACGGGTTCCATATGTGTGTTTTCTTTGATGTTTCCCCGACGCCCCCCCACTGGAAATGGAGGGCAAATGGAGGCCTTCGGGCTGGGTCGGGCTGACTCGGTGGGTGGTGAGAGGTAAAACAAGGCTAGGATCGGGATAAATCGCTCCAGAGCGTTCCGGAGCGCTCTCAGAGCGTTCCGGAACGCTCTGGAGCGGTCGCGGCGCCCAATACATCCTCCAAACCCGCCGATTCTCAGAGATTTCGAGTTATCCCGATCCGATTTTATCCCGATCTTCGCGTCGTTTTAAGAGGGCCAGGGGCAGGCAGCGGTGGGCGAGGAGTGAGCGATGCGGGGCCGCCTGGCCTTGCCGATGACGTGGACGTCCGCGGGCCAGCCGCGCTTGAGCGCGGACTCGAGCGTGGGCGGGTCCTCCGGCCTCAGGAGGGAGGAGAGGTACCTGGAGGGCTGCCGCGGGAGCCGACCCAGACATGCTCGGCGTCGTGAAGGTCATCCGTCGCCGTCGCCTTCGCCGTCGCCGTCGCCGTCTCCTTCGCCGTCGCCGTCGCCGTCGCCGTCGCCGTCGCCGTCGTCTTGGTCGTCTTGGTCATCTTGGTCGTCTTGGTCATCGTCCTTGGTCGTCGTCGTCTTGGTCTTGATCTTTGTCTTGGTCGTCGTTGTCGATGTACATGATCGAAGCCGCCTGCGTCGTTGTCGCACCCGCCCCCGCAATCAAGACGGGTGTTTTTTGGCCGGGTTTCGGCCCTCAGGGTGCTCTCGCCAAGCCCCGGGGCCATCCAGAAACGGCACGGGATGGGAAACTGGAACTGGGGAAGGAGTCGGGACTTCCGGGGGCCGCGCGCTGAACGAGTCAGGGCATCACATGTCTGGGGGAGGAGGGCCCGAAAAGCTGGGGGGTCCACGTCAGGGGGGGGGGCCCGCGCAAGGAAAGGAAGGGGGGGGAAATAGCTACCTGCAATCGGCGACACATCGCCGATAGATTTATGTCGGGCCTGTCCCCCTATTGGAGGATTTTCGACGAAC